CGCGTTACGAGAATTGAATTAGCGATCAACAAGCAAGCGTTTTTCTTAGCTATGTGGTGCACTAAGGAAATTTGGAGAGCACTCAAGAAGCTAGAGCTGCTCAAGACGTAACTCTTACGCTTTTTCCGTTCTCTCCCAACTTTTTTCCGCGTGCATCTATAACTCGCGCGATATACGCTGAAAAGTCAGGAAACACACGAAAAAGAAAGCCCAGTGGTCTCACCCGAAGCTAGAGGGTAAACAAACTGCTGATAAGTCCTCCCTCGTTAGGAATTATTTTCTTTATTAGAGGGCTTCAGTGTGAACAGGTCCTCATGCGATCTCAGAACCGATCTAGATCGGTCTGAGATCGATCTCATTTTAAGCGATCTCGGTATGAACGAGCCCGAGGATAAGCTGGGCTGTGCCCGGTTCTTTAAGAATGAAAAATGCGCGAACTAAATAGATTAAAACCGTCACACTTCTTAAGATTGTCAGGAAGGTTAGTAAAAAGGACAGCTGCAATGTCCCGGAGGGTTTCTCTTTACAGAGGAACTTGTAATCTTATAGAGCCCGAAGAGCGCAAACTTCTACATATAGATACTCGCTGTCAGTTTAAATATGAAGGCCACAGTTTAGAATGAAGTGCTTTAAAAGTCAACTTAAGAAAAATAAAGCCCCTTTTCTCTTCAGCTGGGAGCCAGTTCAGATTTAAAATGTCTCTTATATCATTTACGTAATATCATTAGCGTATTGATAACATAAATTGGAGTCACGGAGGTTATCCCGCAGATCGGCAGTATATATGTTAAACAATAACGGGCCTAAAATTGACTCCTGGGGGAACCCCGGAAATGTAAATGTTCCAGTAACGATTTCTTATCATCAATTTGGACGTACTGAAAGCCATCACATAGGTAGTTTTTCATCCAATATAGAAAAGATTTTGAGAATTCCAATTTAAACATCTGGATGACAACAGAGTTCTATACAGTGTCAAATGCTTTCGAGTAATCGGCCAATACAATTAAAAAGTAAGTTCGCCCTTTTTCATGGCTCTCTCTGATAATGTTATCTCTGATGCGTAGTAGCACGGTAGTGGTTGATTGTCCTTTGCGGAATTAAGCCATAGTTTGCTTTAAAGATTGATTAAATTAGATGTAATCAACTATTTGACGTCCAACAAGTTTCTCAATAACTTTGGACTGACACTGCCCACTTTCCATATCCTGGGAAACATCGATTTCGAAATTGAATTGTTAATTATATTGCTGACAGGACTCCCTATTACACTTGCTTTATGAATCTCGCGAGAATTGGGTCTGGCCCAGTAGAACAATCTAAGCGTCATTTTCAAGTGCAAGCAAGTCTTTTATCACACTGAACAGATCTTCAGAAAGAATTGTTAAGTTATTTGTACGTACCCAGAGTTCTTTCTGCTGTTCCCACAAAGAATCTGTTTAAAACATCAGGTTCATACCTAATTATGTCTTGACTTGGTTTCAGGATGCGATGAATAACTAGAATTCCAGACTTCCTCGGGTTTTTTCGAGGATAAAGCCTTTGAAATGAATTACTCGCGTGCTACGCGAATGGTTCTTTTCAACTTATTCCTAACATGACGAAATGCATCCCAAGCTGCTGTGGTTTGTGTTCTATGGGCAGCCCCCCTCAGCTCATCCTTCTCATTTTGAAGTGATCGAATCTCTTCAGTTTCCATCCAAGGCGCTGGTGGTCGAGTAAATCGCACGCGGCATAATGGGCCGATAGGTCACTGCCAATCCTGACCACTTGCTTGCGTAATGATAGGTAACGCTTAAACCAGGCTACAGCGGAGGCCGACACACCCAGTAAGTGCAGTTTTGATAATAAGTTGTCATGCTGGATGCTGTCGAAAGCTTTAGACATGTAGAGCAGCACAACAACCGAGATATGTTTTTCATCCATATTCTTAAGGAGCTGGTCCGTGTAATGCAATAATGCGGTTTCAGTGGAGTGGAACTTTCTTTTTCCACTCTGTAAGCCGGATATCTTGCTATTTTTATCCAAAAAGTCCATAACTCAACAAAACAAAAAGTCCTACTCATTAACAAGGACCGTTTCATCGAAATTCTTTATGTACTGTATAGACTTGTACCTGGGTTTGAAACGTTCTACGAGAACATTAACACAGGCACAAATGCCGTCGTGGTCACTATTAACAACCGAGCAGGGCGGTATATATTCTTGTGTGAGTGATCCTACTGGGACAATTGTTGTAATTTGCTTCAGTAAATGCTACCCGGCAGAACAAAGTCGGCTCTTTATATTTCTATACGCGCAAATCTAGTTTTGTTGGAGACGTTAAAACAAGAAAAGGTATCTTATTTATCTCTTGCTCCAAATTATTCTTACGTTTATATGAGGCTTTTTCTTCTTAAGTTGCGTACGTGTGTTATTTCAAAGAACTTGGGAAAAACGTTGTTGCCAAATGTAGACCGCTCATCTGCAGCCATCATACTCTTCTGTTCCAAAAACACAACCTGTCAAAGACGCCAGATAGTGAAATTGTACACTCAAGACCCTAAAAATCATACCCTTTTCAGTCGGAAATCTGGCCATCCCAAACAAGGGTAGTGCATACCTAACCCAACGTCCCCCACCCCCCCCCCTCTTCCATTTGCCCCAACACCTGGGTTGTCTTTTGTCATCATTTGCTATCAGCAAAATGCAGAATGTTTGACCTTCTACGATAGCACGGTCTCTTCAATTTCGGTCGATGCAATTAATGCTATTACTCTGATCTGAGTAGATACTTAGGGATTTTTAAACATTGGTTTAGTGAACGTGAAAACATCTGTCTGTCCGGGCCCAGGGGCCCGTTTCTCGAAAGTCCAGGTAACTTAACGGGCCCGGAATCATATTATTAAATCAAAGTCTCAAGAAAAGTAGGGTGTGTTCTGACCTCTAATGAAGTCCATTTTGTTTCGTTAGCTAATAACTCTACTGTATCATTTTCAAAACTTTTAAAACTCCCTTCTAAAATGGAAAACAAAACAGCTTAACGGGCTCGGTAATTACCGGGAGCTTCGAGAAACGGGCCCCTCAGGGCCCGGTTGCATAAAACGTTCGTGACAACTGCGGGTATACGTACGTGCACTCGTAACTTAAGTCAGTTGCGTGGTGGTCCACTTGGGAAATTCACTTAAGTGGGTGCACTTACGATTTTCGTAAGTGTTCACTCAAGTGTCGTTTATGCAACAGAAATTGCGGGTGTTGCATAAGACTTTTTTTACGGGAAAAAAAGAAAGAAGAACTATCATTTTCAGTAGATATTGAAGAAAAATAACGTTTGCATGCAAATTTCATTTTTTAAGAGACTTGAAAAGAGTTCGAAACGACTTAAAACTTTCTTTACACTCACCAATGGTTAGCTTAAGAAAAAAAGAGTGCGTCATTAATAAAGTACTATATCAAAGTTACGTGTGCCTTTAAGTGAGCCCGTAAGTTACCACGTAAAATAGAAACTTTCGAGAGTGCTAAGGGTGTTCCATGCAACACCCGTAAGTGTACCCATAACGGATTCGCAAGTGACCTACTTAAGTGGGCACTTAAGTGTAGGTTTTATGCAACCGGGCCCTGTATCGGTTACTCAGTGTTCAGTAGAGTTCCGCTTTTAGGATTGGCCTACTCTATTATAGTAATATAATGAAGATACATGCGATGTTAAAATTTATATGGGTTATGGTCATTTACTATTTAAAGGGAACCTCCACTCTTACTACAGAATAAGTTTAAATCGAATAAAAAAATGTTGATAAACAAATTTGTTCGAAATTTGTCCTTGAAAAAAGTGTTTATATCAGGAAAAGTGAATTTTAAAATCGCTTATTTTCACTTTCAAATTTCGCGGGCACCGCCATCTTGAATAATTGTGACGTGTTACGGTTGCTCTATTGTTCTGACACAAGGACCTTTTGTTTAATAACAATAGGGCAACCGTAACACTTCACAATTATTCAAGATGGCGACGCCCGCAAAATTTGAAAACAAAAATAGGCGAATCTAAAAGTTATTTTTTCGGAAACAAACGCTTTCTTTAAAAATATTTTAGATTGGCTTGACTGTAACAGTTATTTCCTGTGATTTAAAGTTATCTTTTTGTTGAAGTGGAGGTTTCCTCTAAATACGTCTGCTGCGCTAAAAAGCACCACTTCATGCGAAAAAGTAACGAAATATGAGAAAACGTCACGAAATAGCGGCGAAAAGTAACGAAATGGGTTCGAACAGCAATACGATAGCTTCCTCCCAAAACTGAGACATACACCACACGTACTCTTATACCTAGAAAATGCAAACTAAACTCAAACTATTATTATAACATAGCTAGAAAATTCGCCTAATCAAATTCAATAGCGCGAGCGTGCTTCATATTCCTATTGAGCACGCTGATGACGTCAATAAACTATTCGTAATTCCTCGAGTTGTTGGGAGCTTAGCAATCCTGAGTCTCCTGAGTGCATCCATAACTCAGCAATAGACAATGAAGCGTTTACCATGTGTTTTATAAGGAAATTTAAGAGGAAACGTTTGAATTTGTTAATCGATAGTAAGGAAAAGAGGCGAGTGTTGTTGTTGTGGTTGTATCTCCGCGAGCTGTGCGGGCTATGGCGTGAGATCATTCTTTACAAAGTTGTTTTCTCTCAATAACAATTTTTCGGTAAATTAATAGTTTTCCGGCACCTAAGTATGGATTTTACAATCATTTTAGACTACACTTTCTCTCAGTTTCAGGATAAAAACATAAGCTTAACTGTGAGGAAAAAAAATATACTCACGTAAACATTGACGCGTAGTGCTTTGAGCGCGCCCTACAATAATAAAATTTTAAGTTAACTGATGCATTGATCGCTTTGATATTGTTATAAAACATTTAGTTCATGCTGCAGCTGTGCGCATGTCGAGATATTGAGCACTTGGGAAGTTTGGAAAGCACTCAAGAGGCTAGAGTTGCAAGAGGCGCATACCATTAAGAATGATTACGGACGTCTTTTATGACAATTTCTTTAAAAAGCCCCCGATAATAGCTGCACTTTTAAAAGAAAAAAGCGGTCATAAACTACCGACCAGGGCCCGGTTGCATAAACCTACACTTAAGTGCCCACTTAAGTAGGTCACTTACGAATCCGTTATGGGTACACTTACGTGTGCTGCATGAAACGCCCTTAGCACTCTCGTAAGTTTCTGTTTTACGTGGTAACTTACGGGCTCACTTAAAGGCACACGTAACTTTGATGTAGTACTTCATTAATGACTCTTTTTTTTTTTAAGCTAGCCATCGGTGAGTGTAAAGAAAGTTTTAAGTCGTTTCGAACACTTTTAAGCCTCTCAAAAAAATGAAATTTGCATGCAGACGTTATTTTTCTTCCATATCTACTGAAAATGATAGTTCTTCTTCTTTTTCCACAACGTCGGCTTTAAAGTGTACATCAGAGGTTACAAAGCGCATTAGAGCGAATAACGTGAAGAAAAATACTTTTTTTCACTTCTCAGTAAAAGATCTCCTCAAGTTTAGTAAAAACAGTAACGATACGGGACCTACATAGGTCCCGTAAATTTACGTGCTATTTTTCCCAAAGAAAGGTTTTATGCAACACCTGCAATTTCTGTTGCATAAACGACACTTAAGTGAACACTTCCAAAAATCGTAAGTGCAACCACTTAAGTGAATTCCCTAAGTGGACCACTTAAGTAATTTAATGCAACTGACTTAAGTTACGAGTCCACGTACGCGTACCCGTAGTTGTTACGGGCGTTTTATGCAACCGGGCCCAGAAGAACAACCACTCTTTATTAAGTGGGGAAAGCCTCTGTATTTCGCTGCCCACAGAAACGTAAGCAGTACCGAAGAACTATAAGGTAAGTATACCCGACTCTCAGGAAGCAATTCTGAAAGCAAAACGCGTTGCATTTTCTGATTATACTGCGGCCTTTGTCCTTAAGCTTTATTGTTTGATGTGGCGAATTTCTATACAGTGATAGTGTCTTTTTAGCGTCTTTAAATTGGTAATGTAAAGTAGGCTGATAATTGGAAGGTTGGATTCCCTGGAAATGAATCAAAGACTCGTTGACGCAGTGCACAAACTGCAAATTCCTCTAACTAGGTTACCCTCAACAGACCTAAGCCAACTGTGGCCAGTAAGACAGAAATTAAGCCAGCTAAATCGGCTCAAAATATGTCATTTTCTCACACAAATTACAAGAGTGAACAAATTTACACCGTTACCTACAACTATATTTTTCATGAAAACGTTAGTAATGTAAATCATTTCTCAGTTGGGCGTCATTTTAACCTGACAAGACTATTTTGGGTCAAAGCTAATAAATTATTAATTCTTTTCCATTTTGCAACTGTTATGTTGCAGCAGGAACGGTGTTGGGTTTCAAAAAAATGGGGATAATTTCATCCCTTTTTTTAAATCAGTTTTACCAAGACTTAACAATGCCAAATGCCGCATCTACATTTTCAAACATATCAAACCAAGGAAATTAGCCTATAAAAATAGGTGAATCTGATTAAGCAGACTAATGAATTTCCAAACAACACTATATAGTCCGTATGTTTCTTTGAAATGGAGCACCGCAGACATATTCTTGAAGAATCAGGAAAACCACGACGCAGATGTCGACAAATTAACAGAATCTATTTAAACCAGAAATAAATGCAAAAATAAATTCGAATGCCTAGCTTGTATGCTGATATGCTATTTATACAAGAACGCAAACCATCACTTAACGTGGAATCGGACTCGACTCGTGTTAATCTTTTCCATTAAGAAATCTACATAATAATGAACCATGTTCAAATGCAATCTAATTTACTTAAACTTCGACCCTTAAACAACTTTGAAACTTAACATTTCTTATTCTCGATAATGATGTTAGAAATTATCGAAAAGTCGAGTAACGTTTTTAAGCATAAATTTTCTTTTTAAATGCCTCAACAAGCAACTGACTAACAAGAATGTCACCTGAATACGGTAGCATGAGTTTATATGTCACTTAAAGTTATTAGAATAATAAATTTTCTTAATAAGCGACAGGTGTATATGAAATTATAAGTTACACCCCGTGCACCACAGACTGCAGACAAACTGGGAATCTGAGCCTTAAAGGGGAGGAAATAAATGGGTTACGGAATCGAAATTTTAAGACATTAAATGCCAAATGCGAAAATACTGTGAGTGATATAGAATTATGGACTGCAATAATTACTAAAAAAGACTCAAATGTTTTTTGTTATTCTTTTTCCTCTCTTATTCTTTTAATTTTTTTGCATAACACAGTAATTTTTTTTGTCGTATTGGGAGTTTTTGTGCTTGACTAACACTTTTTTTAATTGGCAGTAGTATACAGTTTTAAGGTGGCTCGGACCTATTTATATGCCCATTGGTTATGTTTTTGAATCGCTTTTTTCGGCAGGAATGATTTAACCGATTTCTATGATTTTTGGCATCCTTAATAAAAAATGGTGCAACTTTAGGAAAATGTTTTTTTTTTATTTTCTTGTAGGTATAAAAACGCTTGAGATATCGGCATATGTTTAAAACCGTATTTTTGCAAAAAAAGTCAATAACTTCGAAACACTACCTAACGACAGATTTTTCTCTAACTTCAGCAAATAATTCAGAGCTCTCTACTTTTATACCTGTAAGTTTGAAGTCAATCGTGACCGTAGAACTCACTGAACAAAATGCTGGTCAACTGAAATTTGACCTCAAAATGCAACGCTAACAAATTTATTTTGTGAAAGTTGACGAACAAAAAAGAGAAAAGTACAGAAGGATTATCTCCTATCTGCAAGGATATTCTTGCCCAAAGTTTTATTGCAAGAAACCGAGTAATCAGAAACCTACGGCGAATACAGTTCGCAATACAAGAAGAACTACTTTATGCTGAATGCGGCGCAAGATTAAAGAACTTCTATTTATCAAAAGTTAGTGTGTTTTTGCAGTTCTCTTTTCGAAAAAAATCTTAACAAAGCAAAATATAGCATTTGCAGAAATCACCAACCAGTTTTTAGCACCGAAAGGTTCCCGTCTTGAGAAGAAATAAAGCCACCAACTTTAGTACTTCAACCAATCCATTTTCAGCTGCAACGAAAACCCTTGTAATTGGTAATTTATTCAAGCTTGAATGTTAGATTTGCCATCACATTCGCACGGGCAGTTTGCCATTTTTCATATTTTTCTTCATTTTCATCCCCAAGTGGCAAATTTCCCGTGCGAATGTGATGACAAGTTTAAAAGCTTAAAGTGAATAAATTACCAAGTACAAGGGCTTCCAGTACAGCTGAAAATGGATGTTTAGAAGTACTCAGGAGTTGGTGGTTTTATTTCTCCTCGAAACGGAAACCTGCGACGCTAAAAACTGTTGACAGTTTTTCGTAGATGCTATATTTTGCTTTGTTAAGATTGGTTTCGAAAAGAGAGGGACCAAAACAAAGTAAGTTTGATGAATGGAAATTCAGTCTATAATCTTGCGGGCAGTTAGCATAAAGTTGTCCCTCTTGAGATGTGACCTGTATTCGTCGTAGGTTTCTGATGACTCAGTTTCTTGCAGTAAAGCTTTGGCCAAGAATACCATTGTAGAAAGGAGATAGTCCGTCGGCACTCGTCCTCTATTTGTGCGTCAACTTTCACAAATGTTTTAGCGCTGCATTTCAAGGTTAAATTTGACCAGCATTTTGTGCAGTGAGATCTACGGTCACGATTGACTTCAAACTTGCAGATATAAAACTGAAGAGCTCTGAGGCTTATTTGCTAAAATTAGAGAAAAATCTGTCGTAGAGTTTCCAAGTTATTCATGGCATTTTTTGTAAAAATGCGGTCTAAAACATTGCCGATATATCAAACGTTTTTTTCACCTACAGAAAAATAAATGACATTTTCTTAAAGTTGCATTATTCTTTATTAAGGATGCAGAAAATCATAGAAATCGGTTAAATCGCTCTTGCCAAAAAACGCGATTTAAAAACATAACCAACGCGCATAAAAGTAGGCTCAGGCCGGGACTAAACATGTCAAACAACTGGCGTTAGCATGGCCCGCTTACTTAACTTAATTGGCCCCATCATTTAAAATCTCCTTATGCTGGCCAACTTTCTTTATCATTCAAGTGATAAACTAACTCTTTGCACCAACTTCTATCGTTTGTAGGATTTTGAAAAGTAAGTGACATCCTTTTTCCAGAATCAAGTGGGGATTCATTGTCCATCTGAATGGCAATGAGGTACCTCGTCCACATCAAATTACTTTTTCTGTTAAGCCATGTATTCAACAGGGTGATTTCAGAACATTGCATAAAAGGTGAGGAATCCATTTATGGCTGGAAGTTACAAGGATACATTTACAAGACTATGATGGCAAACTTCGGATATGAGTGCGTACTTACCTGTCGTCAAGACAAAAGATGTCAGAGTTTCAACTGGGTGATCTCTCTTGACATGTGTGAGTTCAGTAACAGAACCAAAGAAGCCAGACCTGAGGACTTTGTACCAGACCCAGACAGATATTATTATAGAAGAGACGTGAATAGAGGTAAAATGAACTAACAGGCTGGTAATTATAGAATTATGTTTTAAAGAGTTACTGTACCTCTTCTCGGACTATGTACTTATAATTATACAGCGAAATATATCCTTTATTAGGGACCTTAAACTACACCGTTTCTGCCTATAAGTTCGGATAGGCCCACATGTTTGTTTGGAATCTGATTGCTGACATCAGTCAATGGATGCATTCGGATAAGTTAAAACTGAATTCGGATAAGACAGAATGTCTTAAGCTTCTGATTGGAACGAGACAACAACTTCAGAAAGTCAGTAACATCAGTACCTTATCGGTCGGCGACTCCCAAGTTGCTCCATCTTGTGAAGTTCGTAACCTGGGAACCTGGTTTGATTCGTAAAATGAGTATGCTAAGTCATATCAATAGAAATTGCTTATCCGCTTTCTATTATCTTTATAGCATGCGTTAAGAATCGTAATCAGTCACCGAATCATTATAGTTCATGCTTTTATAACCAGTAGATCAGATTATTGTAACTGTCTACTATATGGGCCTCCCGAATTCATATATCATGAAACTCCAACGGATACAGAATGCCGCGGCTCGGTTGGTCAGTGGAACACCAAGATTCTGCCATTTTACACAATTGCTTTTCCACCTTCATTGGCTTCCGATAAGTTACCGTATAAAGTTTAAGATTCTGCTTTTGACTTTTAAGTGCTTATATGGTCAAGCTCCTAATTATTTAATACATGCATCAGGAGTTCTGGACTTCCTGTTGGATCGCACGGCATTATGGGTAGGCGGGCTCAGAAAAGTGGGCATCAACTTGCAGCTTCGCCATATTGGATTACATCGAGAGTGGAATTACATCGAATTACACGTGCAGGAATTTATAAGAAGAACCAAATAAAAGGTATTTTAAAGGTAAGCTATTGTTTCATTACCTCTTGGCAACGTCATTCTAACGATTTTAGGCTGCAGAGTGTAGTCGATTTGAGATGGTACGAGTATGATTTTTGCTTATTTTATACTCAGACTTATGTCGTATTTCTTTTGTTTTAATGTAGATTAACTTTGTCCATGGGATTCGGCCACAGAAATTGTGTGGTCTTAGGCTGTCCCAACAGTGGACAGAGGCTTGGGAAGTGGGCAGCTACGACCTGTGAGCTTCATGGTTGTAAAAATGGTTCAAGCATGTGTGACTGCCAGCCACCCTTCAAATTATTCCCGTTCCCGACAGAAAAGAAGAACCCGGAACGCCGATTACAATGGGCAAAAAATATAAGCAGGAACAGTTTGAATGGGACTCTTTGGATGCCTAACAACGATTCAAGAGTTTGTAATCTACACTTCGTTGACGGTGAACCAACGGCTGAAAACCCAGACCCAACTTTGCAACTTGGTCACAGCAAGAAAACGAGAGCCTCCAAACGCCCACCACCAACGCCACGGGATAACTCTCTTGCAGTAAGATCCAGAAAACGAGCTAAGCTAGATACATGTAGCGATGAAATACCAGTACCTGTTCTTGACCACTCAGCTGACAACCTGGCTTGTGATGATGTTGAGCTCCAAGACCCTGAGCCCTCTACTTCTGTCAATGATTGTGTTGACATAGACAGAGCATCCGTAATTCATGACCATTGCTATGTCTATGGCTGGTATGAAATTAATGAAAATTCGAATTTTTGCATGAACACATGTTGCTTGAAAAGCAGACAAGACAAAGACAAAAAAATCGTGGAACTTTCAGAGAAAATACAGGAGCTAAGTGAAAAAGTGAAGTTGCTGGAAGTTCAAATTGTAGCCAAACAGGATAAGGGATTGAAGCATTCAGATCTGAGAAATGACCAGACTGTAAATTTACTGACTGGTATCCCATCAAAGCCTGCCTTTCACAAATTATTTGACTCTGTCAAAGGATCTATAAAAAAAGTGAGATATTGGAGTGGCCCTAAGAAAACATCCAGAAAAGGCAGGAACTTTAGGAAATCACCAAAAAAATTTGGACCAAACCGGGCTCTTTCTCAAAAGGACGAGTTTCTTTTAACACTAATGAAACTCCGTTTGGGATCCACCAATGCAGACCTTGCACAAAGATTTGGAATTTCACGAAGTACCGTATCAACTATTTTCAACACATGGGTCAAAATTTTGGCTAATGAACTGAAATGCCTAATATACAATCCTAGCATGGAAGTTGTTAAGAAAACACTGCCAAAGAAGTTCAAAAAACCAGGATACTGCAAGGTGCGCCATATAATAGACTGCACTGAAATTTTTATAGAGACCCCAAGCAACCCTGTAATCAGAGCATCAACGTGGTCAGATTATAAGCACCACAATACTGCAAAAATCCTAGTTTCAGACACCCCAAATGGGGCCTTCAACTTCATCTCCGAGGCATGGGGTGGGCGCACCTCAGATGTCCATTTGACAAGGGAATCAGGGTTTTACAACATCCTTGAGCCATATGATGCAGTAATGGCAGATCGTGGATTCACTATTGCAGAGGATCTTTTGCTTCACAGAGCCGACCTTTTTATTCCGCCAGGGAAACGTGGACAAGAACAGTTCACGAAAGCTGATGTACAGAAAACTAAAACAATAGCTAATCTACGCGTTTTTGTAGAACGGGCCATCAGGCGGCTGAAAACATTCCGTATAATCAAGAACGAACTGCCCATCTCTCTTATTGGTAATCTTGATAACATTATTATTGTCTGTGCTGCATTATGCAATTTGTACAAGCCTCTCTGCAAGTAACACGTTATTTTTGGCACAAGATATAGAGTCAAATGTGTAATTCACGAGAAAATCCATACCCCCACTATGGAGGGAAATTGGAAATTCCAGGGGGGGGGGTCAATTTTGCCACCTGTTTTATAGGAGATAAACATCCATAAAAACACTACTGCACTTTTCATTTGGAAATTCCTTAGGGGTTGGGGGATCGTTTGAAAAATAATTCCCCCCATGGTTTGGGTATGGGCTTTTTCTGCCTCTTCTGGAATAACACAATTCAAGATATCAATAGTATGTTCACAGGTTTAGTGAAACTGATTTCCTTGCACTGGTAGGAAGACATTACCACAAATATGCATAAACAGGGGCTTAGCCAGGGGGGGACTAAAGGGCCTGGCCCACCTCTCTGAAAAGTAATATATAGTAAATATATGAGACAATCAAGTCCAGAAAAAGCTCGGGCCTCTCCCTTTTAAGCCTTGGGCCCCTTTGAGCCCCTTTTAACAAAACCCTGGCTACCCCAGTAATACAAAATTTATGTTGATGTCTTAATAAGACCAGTGTAATCAGTGTAGGAAGCAATTTTTTTATTAACAACTTGATGAATGTTTTATACTTTTGACATTAGATATCAAGGATCAAATAAAGCAATGACTAATACAATAATACATGTAGTTGTTCAATTATATTGTGCAGGCTCCATGGAAATATGATTGCCTGTTTATATAATCAGTCAGATCCATTTTCTAGGTATTTTTTTAAACAATTTATTTTTGCAGTAGTTTCAGGGCTGGTGAAAGACAATTACTATAAAACCAGGTTAGATTTTCTTCAAGCCTATGCCAGTATGTGGCATTAAATCTGATTGTTTCCAAGTGATAGCCCTTTCGTGTGTATACAAAGAAATAGCCCAATTGCCTCTTTGTTATGGCCATCTCACCCTGGACCTGTGCAAAGTACTGATGCTGCTGCTTTAAAGCTACTTGTCCATTACACATACATAAGTATGACAGATTATCTGCTGAGGGAATTTCATTGGCAATGCTAAAAGGGTTCTTGATCTCTACTACTGCTTCCCCACAACAAGAGCACTCTATCAGTAAGTCTGGGGATGCTCCCAAGTACTGTTTAGTTTTATCAATAAAGATACCACATTCTCTATACCTAACATCCTTGTGGTGTTTTTTGAAGTATTTGATGAATTCCTTAACTGCAATGGGCTCCATATCTCTGCCATATTTAAGAGCTGGTAAATTTGTAGGTGGTTTAGCTTTTCCCAATAAGCTATCAACAAGTTTATCGGCACTATTTTCTTCATTGACTTTCATTGATTCTACTTTAGTGAATACTCTATAAAAGTTTGAGGCAGTTATTCTGCCCTCCCTTTGCTGGTGCCAAGCCTCATTATCAGCCTGGCCAACAGTTATTTTCTCTATAGCATCAATTTCATCACTGGAGAGTATGTTACTTTCTCTAGGAGTAGATATTGGCTGCAGTGGCTCTGGTGTGCATTCAGCTTGACTCACTGATTCTACTTTAGTCAATGCCCTGTAAACATTTGAGGCAGTTATTCTGCCCTCCCTTTGCTGGTGCCAAGCCTCATTTTCAGTCGGACCAACAGTTATTTCCTCTATAGCATCAATTTCATCACTGGAGAGTATGTCACTTTCTCTAGGAGTGGATATTGGTTGTAGTGGCTCTGGTGTGCATTCAGCTTGACCCATCAACACAAAACAGGAGTCTGGAAATGTATCCTTTAAATTCTCGTAGAAACTTCTCCTTCTCTCACTGTCATCCAGAGCCCTCTTTTTTTCTACCGGCTGAAAGAGGCTACGCCTGCTGTCTACAGTTGGTCTGGTAGGTTCTTAAGAAAACAAAAACAAAGCTGATCAAATCATGAGGTAATCATAGGCTCAGAGGTTGCTACATTTTGTGGTAATATTACAGGGACACTGTATCGTGATGCTGCATGAATGAAGTTCAGCCTTGTTTGCAAAATAGTTTAGCATATTCATTTTTCAGCATTTCTCCAATAGCAGTGATTCCTATGTCCTATGTTTACTATATCTTACTTAGTTACCTTTATTTAGTTTTGATGACTTCCAATTCATGTCAGCAATCTTTGTTGGCTTGATAACTGTCTTTTCTGATGGGACATTCCACACACATTGTCTTGATGTGCAAGCTGGGTTGGTCATTCCACTTCTATTAGCAGCCTCAACTCTAAACAGCAATGCTGTGATGTGAATACAAGAGCTGCTCATTCTGAAATTATAAAAAAGGGAATGAAAATAATCATGTAGCATCTAAAAACCTCAACACTGTTGGGGGGCTCAAGAATAATATTGCCCTGCTCCTAGTTTTGTGAAATTCATCTCCCAATTATTTAATAATTAGACCTCAAGTCAGAATGTGCTATATGACAAATGCACCACAGGGCCAGAGGCCAATACCACAAAAAGATGCAAATTCTAATTGTTTTAGTATAGACCAACAAGTTAATCTGTTTTGTGAGTGTGGATACCATTATTTTGTGTTGAAAAAAAATCAAATTGCAAGAAAGCAGGTGGTTTTGCCAGGCACGGCCTATCATTAATAGGCCATTAGTTGCTCACTCAATCAGAATGAAGGATTTGTAATAGACCACTAGTTGGTTTATACTATACCATGACTCTCTCTTAGTTTCAAGGAGCTTGTACCCTTTTTAATTCCATGGTTGAGTCCCTACCACCATATAGCACCATCACACCAGTAACATGAAACTATGAAATGAGATGAAAAATAGGGTTTGACCCTACAAATTAATACTAATTTATGTTCACTTTTATCTGTCTTGGTAATACAAACCCAGCAACACATGTACAGTAGGCATTGACTATAAAGCCATTATTCTTGTTCGCACAAATCCATGCAGAATGCGGTGTATCCGATATTTTCATGGAATGAGTGCATTTTGCTTTTAAAAAGCAATATTCCGAGTCATCCGTGATTTTATGATATGATATCTCTTTCAACCAGCCAGAGTCAAACAAACGATACGCCTTCCCTTCTTTGTATTCATTTAGGACGCGTTTGTGGAAGTCAACATCCTTCCCTGGGTGATCAATCATCAAAAACAATGTTATATCACTCAGGTATATCGGCGGCCAAGAAGTCATGTTCTCGCTTTCCTTCACCCAGCCATCCTTCAGTTTCAAAGGATCTGGAACTGAGGTCCCGTTTGGCATTATGAGTAATTTTGCCTTCTCTTTTTCGGTAGTAGCAATTCGTTCCAGAGCAGTTGGCTTGATGGAAATGCCCATTTCTGCCGCGGCAAATACGCGGGCTACAAGTTCAGCTTTGGTTCCTGAAACCTTCAAGTCCCGCTTGCGACAGAACTCTTTCAGTTGCTCAGGTTTCCATGTCTGGATAACCTCGAAAGGCAGCTCTTCACGACTCATATCACACCTACATTATAACAAAATAAATAAAAAGTTAAAACGTATTCAACTATCAGAGCTTCACCTCTGCTCCGACTTCTGTCCATTCATTTAGTTAGGAGATAAAAACAAAACGGAACAGAAATACGACTCCTTACCTGTTTTGGCCTTGTCACTGGAGTTTCTGTAAGTGAGTCTCGTTTCGATTCGATTATGAATACAAAGGGTAATAAATCAAGCGAAACAACTTCAAACAAGCAGAGATGGCGACCAAACAAGGATTTGATGCCCACTTATCTCAGTCCAACTGTATTTTCTATATTCCTGCACGTGTAATCCAATATGGCGAAGCTGCAAGTTGATGCCCACTTTTCTGAGCCCGCCTACCCACAATGCCGTGCGATCCAACAGGAAGTCCAGAACTCCTGATGCATGTATAGGCTCGATTTCCGCCGTCTCCCGGGTCCGGTCAAGAGTCTATATTCCTCGAGTTACCTGGCATTAAGACCCATCCAACTCTTGCACTGTTCCAGTCAGCTGCACCTTAGCTTATCTCTGGAATGCGTTACCTTCGGCAATTCGCAACATAAAGACATTGGACACTTTTAAGACTGCTGTTAAAACTCATCTTTTCAATTTAGCTTTTAAATAGATTTGATTGTTGGCTTTTACTGTATTTTTTTTATAGTTTTTAATAGCTTTTATTGTAGTTTTTAATAGTTTCTTAAAACGCTTTAGTCACCTTTAAAATAAATTAAATATAACAATATTGTAAAGCGCAATCGAATATATGGGATGAGCACGAATCCGACTCTACCACCCATAAAAGAAAGACACTAGAGGTGTTCACTAGCAAAGATTCAGATAAGTCTCTTAAGGCTCTTCCTAAAGGCTCGCGCTTAAACAGGTACTTCACGCACATTCATTGCCAAAGGGTAGCGCATTTTATTAATGACAGATTTTTCTTCCAGTTCCTCTCGGTTCCATTCCTGAGCTCCCAGCAGAAACGTGTAAAGAGATCAAAGCAAGTGAAGGAGAAGCCATAAGCAAGAAATACTGGATGAGTATCATTAAACCTGGTTTCACTGTTCTCGCTCATTGCGATATGAAGTCCGAAGGCAAGTAGGCTGAAAACTTCTTATCAAACAAGAAGTTCAGTTCCTTATTGGCAGAAAAATATTCCTGTTTAATTCAGGTGTTTTCCGAAAATTCCTCACACCAATAAATAAACTTAAGGCAGTCAAATATGTAGTAATTTTCAAGAAACTGTCCCATCAAGCCTTGCCTTTGCTGGTTGGGTAGCAGGAATAACCAGTTGATGGTCATTAACTACAATCTATAATTATACTGTATTAACTTTAGAGGTTTGCTTTGCATTTGAGAAGCTCAAGAAGCTTGGGGTGCATGTATTATTTGGCTGTTCCTTGTTTTTGCTCAGATGTTGACGAATGCACGGCTTCTTTTCCCGTCTGTGACGTAAATGCCCAGTGTACGAACACTCGTGGATCCTATACCTGTACATGCAAGCTTGGCTTCTCTGGTGATGGAAAAACATGCAAAGGTTTGTGTTTGTGGGAGACTCGTAAGAAAACAAATCAAATGCGATTTTTACATACAAATCACATAGCGATTTTTATGAAATTGTATCGCCAAGGTTCGACCTCGTTTCATTGTAGATAGATAGATAGATAGATAGATAGATAGATAGATAGATAGATAGATAGATAGATAGATAGATAGATAGATATATATATAGAAAGTAAACTTCTGTGTCGAATGAAGATACTAAAAATAATGAAAAACGAAAGTCTTCTTTGCTTTTGCGCTACGCGTTAGTATGCTGGGAGTCAGTAAGCATATCGATGAATGTGCGGCGGGATTGACTCCTCAGTTTACTATCTTTCCGTTTTACAAGATTCTCAGCCCCTCCGAGGGCATGAGAAAAAACAAAGAGAGGTTTTTTATTTTGAAATATAAACCCGTTCTTAATGATTTGAAATTACGCTAATTGCTCGCGCGTGCTACGAATTACAAGAGCCATTATAATTGTAATTACAATTACGTCTGTGACGCGATAAGTTAATAAAAACACTTTGCTATGCCTGAAGAGCCGCAACAGCGGTGAAACGCGTAGCGCAAAAGCAAAGAAGACTTTCGTTTTTCATTATTTTTAGTATATATATATATATATATAAATATATATATAGGTATAGATAGATGTAGATAGATAGATAGATAGATAGATAGATAGATAGATAGATAATAGATAGATAATCTTTATTTATCAACGGTCAATTCATCAGCCAAAAAATTACAGTTCAAATAAGAAAACATTGTAAACTATCTACATTATAAAAAATATTAATTAAAATAAAAAGCTGCCTTTCCACGAATGCCGCTCCCTAGAGTACTTGTTTAAGAAGACACCTAAATTTCGTAAGGGACTCTGCTTGCCTCACATTACACGAGAGTTTGTTCCATAGGTGGCGCCACTTTAGCTAAAGCTATTTTTGTAATAATTAATTCCGTGGTAAAGGGAGGCTCTAGGGTTATATGCTGTTGTGTTTCCTTGATCGAGAGGAATGCGATAAAGGTCTCTTGATGAAGGGACAATGTACAACTTGAAAGTCATAAACTACTTTAAGATTAAGTTACAGGTTTGCTTTGCAATCAAGAAGCTCAATAAGCTAGTGTTCCTTGTTTCATTTGGCTTTTATTTTCTTTGCTCAGATATTGACGAGTGCAAAGCTTCTTCTCCCGTCTGTGACGTCAATGCCCTGTGTTCGAACACTCGTGGATCCTTTAGCTGTGCATGCAAGCTTGGTTTCTTGGGTGATGGAAAAACCTGCCAAGGTTTGTCAGTGAAAACAAAATACGAACATAAAGAAAGAAGGGTATTATGCGGGCTATATTATTTTTGAGATGCGTAAGAGTTCCAGCATGTTATCATCAGATTAGGCCCACTCTAAACCTGCACTATGTCCTTAAGGCAACAGCCTTCCCCCCGTACTCGTAGTTGTTCTCTCAAAAGCAGCAACAAACTCGGTAATTAAGATGGCAATAAATCCAAATACTTTCACTCATTAGACAAATCATTTCTGAACAATTCCTCAGTCGTTGTGTTTAATTTTAAGAAAATGAATCAGTTGACAGGTTCATTTTGCCATTTTAAGCAACAACTTGTCAAATATTGAGTTGCTGTTCCTTTTTTCATAGGGTGTACCGTCTTCACTGTATTATAATTTTCAAGGATATTATAAAATCCTCTGATTATAGTCGTAAGCTGACATCAACGAGTGCAGTCATATCCCCTTCGCCTTGAATAGGCCCCTGTAGCACCTCGACTAGAAACCTTAAGGTCATACGTTCGACACCTATTGGGAGTATTCGGACTTTTTCTTCCGAGCCGCATTTGTCAATGACTGACAAAAACCCCTTTCTCATGTATTCACCAGTCTTAAAATTCTCCATCACATTTCTACCTTTGACAGCCCTAGTTTATCGGCGCGTAGACCGTCCCCCGCATTCTTGAGAACAAACACACCAACTTAAGCAGACATAGCAGACTGATTTGTGTGAAACTATCCACTTTGCAAGCCTCGGCCTTGTTTAATTGTGTTTGCCAGCTGTAGTGACTACGCTTAGTTATTATATTAAGCTTGTTTCAGTTGGCTGTTTCGCTTTTTTGGCACAGATGTTAACGAATGCACAGCTTCTTCTCCCGTGTGTGATGTCAATGCCCAGTGTACGAACACTCGTGGATCCTATACCTGTGCATGCAAGCGTGGCTTTTCTGGTGATGGAAAAACATGCAAAGGTTTGTGTTTTGACTTTGACGGCCCTTGTTTATCGGCACGTAGACCGTTCTCCCGCATTCTTGTGAACGAACACACCAACTTGAGCAGACATAGCACAGTGATTTGTCTGAAACTATCCACTTTGCAAGCCTGACGGCCTTGTTTAATTGTGTTTGCCAGCTGTAGTGACTACGCTTAGTTATCATATTAAGCTTGTTTCAGTTGGCTGTTTCGCTTTTTTGTCACAGATGTTAACGAATGCACAGCTTCTTCTCCCGTGTGTGATGTCAATGCCCAGTGTACGAACACTCGTGGATCCTATACCTGTGCATGCAAGCGTGGCTTTTCTGGTGATGGAAAAACATGCAAAGGTTTGTGTTTAGACTTTGACGGCTCTTATTTATCGGCACGTAGACCGTCCCCCGCATTCTTGTGAACGAACACACCAACTTGAGCAGTCATAGCAAAGTGATTTGTGTGAAACTATCCACTTTGCAAGCCTCGGCCTTGTTTAATTGGGTTTGCCACCTGTAGTGACTACGCTTAGTTATTATATTAAGTTTGTTTCAGTTGGCTGTTTCGCTTTTTTGTCACAGATGTTAACGAATGCACAGCCTCTTCTCCCGTGTGTGATGCCAATGCCCAGTGTACGAACACTCGTGGATCCTATACCTGTGCATGCAAGCGTGGCTTTTCTGGTGATGGAAAAACATGCAAAGGTTTGTGTTTAGACTTTTACGACCATCATCAAGCATCAAGCACCGTGAAAGAATACTCATTCTCTGTTTATATAACATAGATCTTTCCCAAATTTCTATAAAGAAATGTAAAGGTTTGTGAGATTTTTAAACGACCGTAAGAGAGGATGGCATCATGGGTGTTATAAGAAATTTAAAACCAAGCATATTATCATCGAGACCCACTTCACAACTGTACTATCGTAGTGCAAACAAGCCTTTTATCATTTTCTCTCTGTACACGAATGCCATTTTATCTAAAAGCATGAATGCACTGTAAAATGAAGTGCATATACTTTCAACACATCTCTTCACTTAAATGAAACAACTTACTCAAAGTCGTTGTCTTTTGTTCATTTTTACAGACATGACTTCCACAGGTTCAATATTGTTTCAAGTTATTGTCTTGCTTTAGTTAGCATGTATCTTCTATACTGTACTGTTTCTTCCAGTATAAGGGCACCTTTTTGTCCAATCGTGGATATCAATGAGTGCAGCGCTCTCCCCTCCGTTTGTGATGTGAATACTAACTGCCAGAACAAAGTAGGCTCTTATCTCTGTACGTGCAAACCTGGTTTTGTTGGAAACGGGAAAGCGTGCCAGGGTATCTGCAAATTTTACTTTAAATTGCACGAGGTTTTTACTGTAACGTTGCAAGTGTCTATTATTTAAAAAGTACTAAGATCTTTGACAACGAAAACAAGGAAATATAAAATGTCGGACGTTTCGGCTATATGAAAAGGGCATAGATGCTCGTCTTCTCTTTTGGAGGGGGTTGTCGTAAATTGCATAATTTTCGGAGTTTAGGACAAATCACGCCAAATTTTGACAAATTGCGTTATTTACAAGCAAACGGGGAAGAAAGAAAAAGGAAAAAAATATTAAAATACAACAAGTTTAACGAAGTTAAAAGTATCTATAGCTTCTATTTGGCTGCCTATTTTAACAAGTTAAATTTTAACGTTCAGATTAAGCAACTGAGCAACACCATATTGGTTTCTTTCCTGTTGAGATGTTTTAATTTTGTTCCATTCACATATGATTTCCCTCCCTGTTAAAGGATTATGGTTTCTTGTAGCCACAGTCGAACCTCCACTAACGGCCACCTCTCAGCAACAGCCACTTTTTTGTTCAGACGGACAGTCCGGTCCATACATTAACTTTTATGGAAACCTCTGTATAATGGCCACCTCTCCACAAGGGCAACGGCCTCTAAAACGTGTCCCCAAGTGCGAAAATAACCTCTCGACAACGGCCAGTTTTTTCAGCGACTAATGAAAAAATCAAAAACGGTCATGAAATTTGATCCGTATGACGTGTTGATGATAAACCGCGGCAATCGTATTTTGATTTTGTTTCATTTTTACTGCTGCAATAATTCTAAGCATAAATTCTCTAAGAAAAAAGCAGATGTTGCGAACCTTTCTCGTTTTGTCCTGTTAACATTTTGATTTAAGACATAATTCAAGATTTTTGCGTATTTTATCTCTATACATTATTTATGACTGGATTATTATCATTATGGGGGACAGCAAGTATGAACGTAGGAAAATAGACATGTTGTACTCTCTTAAAAAATTGTCATTTTACACCCCTCTACACATCGGCCACTTTCTTCTGACCCCAAGGTGGCCGTTGTGGAAAGGTTCAACTGTCCATTCAAATTGATTTGTTTAACGATCGAATAGCGCAACGTCGATGGCCTTCATTTCTATGCCTAATTCAAAACAAACCATGTATATAACTGGTACTGATGGTAAGAAACTTTGTTCTGCAGTCTCAATCACATGCAGCCAGATAAAGAGAATCGATAGCAAAGCAACTGATGGAATTTACAGAGTTACGCCATCTTCCTCAACTTTCCAAGTATGTTTTAGTTTTATACATTATTTAATGAAACTGCATCAAGGACGATTTATTCTCTTGGTTTATGGCTTGCCAGTGACCTCTTCATTTCACCCAGTGATGATGGTGGACTAATTAAAGGGAGGATGAGCTTAAAGGGCAACAAATCGTGATTGGAAGTTCGAGGTCCTACACTGCAGAGGTCAATTTGTAATGGCTTGAACACGGCAAATATTAATAGCTGATTAAAATTATAAACCCGTAAAGATGATACCTAATGGATGTGGGGGTAAACGTTTGTTACCTTTGGAAATTTAAAGTTCTCTTCTAAAAAGGCTTACATTGTCGCGAGCTTCTCGTGCAGATGCATTCCAACAAGGTTCAAAATAATGGTTTTTATTAAAAGAATTATCAATGCGCTTACAATGGTAAATTAATCTGAATGGAAAAAAAATAAAGTGTTCAAACGTTTCTTAAAAGTGTATGCAAATTCAGAGCATTTGATATGATGAAGTAAACTTTTCCAGATTTTCGGTGCATAAGCGATAGCCATAAGTCTAGGAAACAGAAGCGGAACTTGCAAGAAGTGAAGACAAATAGTGAGGAGTCAAATCACATGCAATTTTGACATTGATGTGTGCAATAATAGTAAGCCAGTGCAAGTTTTTCATGACAGGAGTTATATGGTCGGTTCTTTTTATTCGTTGAATCAAGGGTGCGGCACAGTTCTCAACACGTTGGAGCTTATCTATTTCTCGGCTTGCTAGGCCACTGTATAAACTGTTACAATTATCCAAGAGCGACATTGAACATCATATTAAGGTGATTCTTGCTCAGATACTTCCTTAATCATTCAATAAATCGAATCGGCAGCATAGCCTTTTTGCACATTTCATTAATATGAGGACGACCATTGAGCTCTCTATCTAGGTTTACACCAAGATTACAACTCGGTCTGATGGTTGTACTCCAGCGTTGCCAATCGAAGAATCACTAAGAACTGGGTTCTTGACGAATGAGAACTAAACTGAATGACCTTTGTTTTACTAGGATTGCCCGCTAACTTATTGATGGTGTTCCATTCTATAACTTAATCACTAATACGCTTCTGAAGGGTGCTTACGCCCGGACGTTGATCAATTAAGAGGATCAATATCAATGTAAAGTTGAGAATCATTTGAATAGAATATACAGTCTAGGTTATGAGCAGAGATCTTGTCCTGAATAGCTGCAGCATAGAGCGTGATCAAGAGAGGTCCTAGTATCAACCCTAGCGGAACTCCAAATTCTAGTATTCTTTGTGTTTACCAATAATAACAGATTGTGTCCGATCGCGAAGAACAAAAAAAAAACATTAAAAACCATTTTAGCACGGTGTGGTAAAAACCAAAATAACCATGACTCTGTCTACCAACGAGTATAGTATGGTCTACGGTGTCAAATGCGGCTGACAGAGGAAACATGATGTTTACGGTAGGCGGATTGCATAGAGTGCATCAACTGATTGTTCTCCAAGTATCAATGTGTTTGAACCGCGACAACCTTCCGATGACGTTAGCTAGAAAAGGTATATTGGCTACAGGTCTGTAATTTGTAAAACATCCTTGTCATTTTTCTTGGCGAAAACTCTTTAAGCATGACTTGTTTCTTCAGAAATCCCTCTTGTAATAAATAGTAGCCACATCGCCAGCATACACTTAAATAATAACAGGATGAGACGTAAACGTTCTCTGGGAAGAGTTAAAAATACTCCTTGCTTTTTTTGGAAAAAAATTAATTGGAATGCTAAGTAAACGTATTCCCCAAAATCCTTTAAGCCTCATCGTTCATGGTTAATGAAGTTAATCCTCTTTTAGTGACAAAGTTTCTTCAATCAGGCGTATATCTCAATATTATGTAAAAGTAACACTAAAATGTTAATTGTACCCTCCATTTCTTTGCCACTCCATTTTACATTTGGAATGCATCTGCACGAGAAGCTCGCGATAAATTTCCAAAGGTAACAAACGTTTACCCACACATTCATTAGGTATCATCTTTACGGGTTTATAATTTTAATCAGCTATATTTGTCGCGTTCAAGCCATTACAAATTGACCTCTCCGGTGTTGGACATTGCCTTGCTCTGTTGAATAGTTGCGTGTTGTGTGCTACAAGAATAATTATCTAGTATGTTTTGTGATTCTTAAATTTGTAGTGATTTGTAATCAAATGGTGACGGAAGGCCGGGAAGTTATTAGAATTTTTGGACGAAACGGGCGTGAAATTATTCCCTTATTTCACGAGTAAACTATTTGATTACTTTAATAACTCCGCTCTCTTCCTGTTGCCATATATTTTAGACTCGTGTATCGTTCCTTTCAGGTATACTGTGATATGACTTCCTCTGGACAAGGGTGGACACTCATCGCTCGGTTCTCTAACAAAGACGCCAAAAACTGGATGAGTGATTCTGGGGTTTGGTGGTATGACAGAAGAACAAGTTATGGAAGGACGACTGATCCATCATACAATGCTGACATGATCGCTCCCGCATTCTGGACGGTCAGAGGTAACGAGTTGAAAATCACGCGCACTAATGACCGCCAGCACACCGCTCTCTTGCAGACGATAGGAAACTGTCTAGGTGGAAGGACATTTCGATCGAAAATCACAGCCTTTGGTAACTTTAGGAATGGTGCCATTTGGGCAAGTAACCGATGTCTGGGTCATTGTACTGTTCAGTATGGCGGTCAGTACGCAACAACTGGAGGCTTCAAACAGGCAACATGCAAAGGAAACATCCAAGGTGCTAATGCAATCGGCTTCTGGTGTGACTGGAGCGGAGGTGATGGAGCGGTGATGATGATTGGTGGAGGAGGCAAGAACTGTTCACGTGCTGACCACGGAATTGGAATAACAGAAGCTGACGCGGCATCTTTTGATGATGGTGGAACCAAAGAACACGATTTTGGGGATGAGGCTAACTCGGCACAAGATACAACATACTCTTTAAACCTGTGGGTACGTTAATTAAAGCGTACGGTTTTCCTTTTGCATGTGCTATTTCTATTCACAAAATTTAAAATTGTCCATTTTGAGTGATGATCTTGAAGATGACTTAATCATTGATTAGAAGTTTTTAATTAGCATTTTCGTTAAATATTATCTTCATCGTGATTTACGCACAGCCAACTTTAGCAGAACATTTTACGATAGCATTCTTAAACTTTATGCTATTTTGAATAACTTTGTAGGACTCCCAATCCTGACTGGCACAATAAAATCCATGAGCCTTGTTATTTGGTTGTGCTTTAATTTCTTCTTCGATGTCCTCGGAAACCAAGGGGTTGAGGTAAAAAGAATTTAATAAAATTTAGGTGGATCTAGAAAGATATTAAAATCACGCTTTTCTGTATCAGTGTATCCTACAATTGCAAAGTGCCAGCTTAGAGTATAACTTATTTCCTTTCCATTACAAAACGTTGAAGAATTAGCCTTCGTATTTGCTTTCTTCTTTGAATGAGATCATTTTATTTATTCCTTTCCAGTTTTTATTAGTGTTTTTAATATTGGTTTCAAAGTAATTGCTTGTATTAATTCAACCGAACTTGCAAACGAATTCACAACTGAAGATGATCGTTGAACGATCGAAACATGTCTTGTTTTAAACTTAAAGTTGTTTTCCATTTCTTAAAAATAGTTTCAAAGTACCGTTGATAATAGTTTTTCTTAATTAAACGGGTGAGGCTTGTTATCTTGTTTCGGTATCATTTGTATTCAAATTTGACTAACCTTATAATTTGAACCAAGAGACTATAAAGGGGACAGAGAGGGCATCCCCCATATACACACTATTCCATAGGTAATTCGTCTGGAGTTATTTTTAGAATCGGGATAAAGTTACCTCGCGCGAGGCGTGGATGTTTCGTGGAGTTTTCGCATGACCAAACGCCGTGCAAAACATGTCGGGCAAGAGGCAATGAAAGCGTAAAAAGATCGAGAGCATTCCTGAATATTGAAGCGAAATGAGTCGGCGCTCACCTGGGAAAAAGGAATCGCTGGACTCTTTGACAACCCGTGCAATCAGTTTAACTCGAAGTTGTCGTAACCTCAGTGCTTTAATAAAATGAGAAATTTCGCCGGTCTATTGAAACCGGTCCTTTGTACAATTTAGGGAGTTTAAGATCCAACGACGCGGACGACAACTAGAACGTCAAAAAAAACAATAGGTTTAATTAGCAAAACAACAACTTCGCACGTGCAACACACTTTTTTGTTCATTTCTTTCCCGTTTTTGCACGACTACGACGTGAAAATGCCTAATTTCGCGTTTTATGGAGGACGTAAATAAGCAACGACGAAATTTTATTTCTCTTTCTGAGCTTGAATATGGTCCCTTGAAATTCAGCTTTAGGAGGGTTCGCCTACAATTGACAAAGTAAGTGGGTAGGAATAATCGCTATAAAGACTGAAAAAAATAAACATCAAACCAGAAATTGCTCTCTTCAAACTGTAAATTATAAATGATCCTGAGAGAATATTCAGTGTGTTAAGGATTTCCCTGCTCTACTGTTAGCTCTATACAAGAGAGGAAGGGCGATTCTTTTTTAATTTCGGTTTCGCTGACACAGCTTTCGCAGAAATCTCGCTGTAGTCGTTTTCGTCGACAAAAGGAATAGCAAAATCGCTCTCCGCGTCTTCCCCCATTTTGTTCTGCGTCATTTCGTGAAGGACGCGTGGCTCTCAGCGTGGGTCATCCACGCGGAACACATTCGCGCTATGTGATTGGCTGTTGTCTAATCCCCCTTGAGATCTGTGGTGTTAAAAATAACTCGAGACGAATTACCTATGGAATAGGGTGTATATGGGGGATGCCCTCTCTGTCCCCTTTATAGTCTCTTGTTTGAACTTGTGACGTTTTGAAGCCAAATTCTAACATCACAGTAAATACAAAACGTATTTTGATCAACAATGCTATAACTTGTTTCGAAGGGCTTTTTCTATAGAGTTCTAAAGTGATGACGTCATAAAAATTAAAGTTATGAAATTATGGGATTTGTAATTATTACAAATCCTTCTAAATTTGACTTGGGTCTAAACGTTTAGACCCAAATTTAGAAGGATTTGTGTGGAGTCATCAGAGCATAACTGGACTAATATCTCAGAGGCAATTTGCCCCGAAATGCTATGTTTTGTAAGTAGGCGTCTTGGGCGTCGTCTTTCAGAATATTTTGACAAATCCCGTAATTTCACAGCTTTAACTTTTTATGACGTCACACTTTAGAGCTGTATTCCGGTTATAAGCCGATCGGAGTAAGCCCTCCTAAAACCCCTGACAAAGATGTACAATAGGCCCCCCCAGGGCTTATATGCGTCAGTTTACGGTATCCTGATGGTTCTATCAGATCTGCTTAAACAAGAGTTTCCAAAGGGAGATTACTATTTAGAAAGCCTTGCAGACAAAAAAAAGACCTGTCGTCTCTAGTATCTCGTCCCTTATTTTCAAAGAAATTTAATTAAAGGAAAAAAAGTAGAATACTGATGTTTTATGTTGACATTGTCTGATGAAAACACTTTTTTAATGTTTTGTTCAGAATCGACATCACTTGTTAGCCCATCTCAGTTGTAAAAAGTACGCTTCTTTTGTTCGAGCTGACTCAACTTGAACGGGAGTTGCACTTATCATCATGGTGATTTTGATCTTTGGGTAATGTTTGGTAGTGAAAGTTTTTGTTGTTAGGAAATTTAAACATTTGACTGATGATTTAATCTTCTCAAACTCATTAATAATTCATTAAGAAAATACAAAGGAAATTAATGTTTAATGAGTGTTTGGAAATCGGATGAAACACTGCTTAGTATTTGCATCCTTAATTTCTCCTTCAAAAATGATTTTGTTTGAGAAGAAATATCAAACATTCGACACAGTGTTTCATCACCAGATGAAACACCTCGAAGTTCGTCAAAAATACTCCGCTGCGCGTCGTATTTTCAACTCTCTTCTCGGTGTTTCATCTGGTGATGAAACACTGCATCTCATGTTTGATATATTACGTAGACTATACATATCTTACGCCGACGGTCGGAGCCTGCTTCTAGCCAAATTCATTTCCGTTTATTTTTTGATCACCCTCAAATGACCGAAGATAAGAAATAATTGTTTTTAGAGAGAAAAAAGGAAAGCATGCCTTTGACACATAAAGAAAATATTTCGCTTTAAATCAATTGAGAAAAAAAATTCTTATAAGTGAAAATCAAGTTCAGTCTTCAGCTCACTAAGCAAGGACAAAGTGTTTTTTTTTCCTTTTTACCACGTGAAAGCGTCGACGACACAATCAAAGTTTTAAGTTTATAGCTATTGGCCATAATCAATTCGTTTGAGAAAATATTAGTTTCGCAAGGTGCAAACGCTCAATAATGAATAAGTCATAAACGGATTTTAATGCAAAACCCCTGCTAGACGCGCATCATTAATCACATGGCAATGATACGTTCATATCAACAGAAGTAAGAAAATGCCACTTTAAAATAACCGCGGAACATCTAATTTTGAGTATGAATGTAACGTCTCTGCCACCTCGCCCGACTTTGATAGTCGTTTTGGAATCGAGCATTGCCACTGTTTTTTTGTGTCTTGCGCTGGCTGGTAACCTTATCGTGTGCCTGGCAATTTCACGACATAAGCTGCTGAGAACAGTGCCAAACTTTCTCTTGTTAAATCTCGCCGTTACAGATATCCTTAGTGCAGTGGTGAGCTTGCCGCTCCTTGTGTCAGTTCTGGTCAATGGCGCCTGGAAATTTTCCACGAATGTTTGCAAGTTCCAAGCTTTCCAATCGTACGCTTCCTATTCATGCAGTCTTCTTACCTTAGCAGTTACAAGCATCACTAGATATTACGCCACAGTTCACCCGGTACAGCACCGTTCAAAGTTCAAATTAAAAACGGTATGTCAAATGATTTTCCTGATTTGGTTGGCTTCGCTTCTTTTTGCTTCAGCGCCCCTTCTTGGATGGGGAAATTACAAGTTTGAACCTTACTACGGGCTATGCATTCACGATCACAACTCAAGCCCTTTAATATATAATACGTTTCTGTTTATCTTCTTGATAGTCAATTCGACTGTAATTGTGGCTTGTTACTCGAAGATTTTCAAAGCCATGAAAACAAGACGTGGTAGGGTGGATACAATGTTTGCGAAAGACTCGTGCCCAAGACAGCTAGGAATTTTTCAGGCCCAAGAAGTTAGATTAACGAAAACAATATTTATCGTAATCTGCCTATTCACTCTGTGTTATCTACCTACAATTGTCCTGGGGTTTTTAATGTTTACCGAAGTAGGTGTACCTCGATTCGCCAGAACACTATCAACGTTTTCTGTAGCCTTCACGTCCGTTGTCAACCCAGCCGTGTACTGGATACGTAGCAAAACTTTTCGCGACGCATTAAAGGGACTGTCCCGTGGAATGAATTTCATGGCCCCGCAAGAGTCTGTCCCCGTCGAAACAAGCGACTCGAAATCACTAGAACTCTTCCCAAACAAAGACAACCAAGATACTATCAACCGAAGGCAAGCACCTACGCTGCCCGCTAAAGATTAAATAAAGTTTGGATTCTAGGAATTTTGCAGTAATAACTTTAAGAGACGGTGGCGGAATTATTATAAATATCTCGAATTTACGGGCACAATCCACCGTTTGTAAAAGTACATCTTTCACTTTGCTATATCGTTACGAAGTTGGATTACAAACCCAGAACGCATACCTTAATCAGAATGGAAAACCATATATTGTACTTGAATGTTATCCCTGGCTTAGATCTTATTTTGTTTTACTTTCTGGTATGATAATGTATGATAATGAGCATGAAAGAGAGGAAAATAGCCTCTTTGAAACCAAACCAAATTTAAACCAAGGATAAAGTTCAACCGAAACACGTATATCAGTTTAGTGCCAAAATGAACGTGTGGTATAAGTAACAAATAATATAAGGAACAACCTGATTGTACTGAGAGTTTTTGGAAAAGAGAAATAGAAAGCAATACTATTGCTCTCCTTCCCTGTCACAAGATGCCTCTATATCTACAAACTGTACTTATCAAACGCGGAATTTGAATCAGAAACAGCCTCAGTTACCGGCGCCTGAGGGCAATTTAGACCCCTTGCTCTCATGTTCGTTTATCAGGGGTAGAGTGCAGTCTGGAATCTTCAATGATACCTTAAGAGAATGCGGAGGCTCTTTACTGCTGGGTTATAATTATGAAAATTTCCTTGTATATATAGAGCATCACATCACGCAAATCGTGTCTGACTATAGCCGTGTGTATCGTATGTGTCTTGTTCTTCATGATAATAAAACCTCTCCTGCCAAACTAAATGAATATAAGCCATAAAGGACTATATAAAATTTTCCTTTCATTCAAACGTTCTTTTCAAATCTCGTGGTTGCCGGCGTTTGAAGCACATCAATGAGTTACCCTATTCTAGGAGTTACTTTTCGTATAGTGGTTCTTAGCAACCGTTAGGTCTGTTCTTTTATTGTTGTAGCAAGGGTTACACAACGCTTCGCATCTTACAATATACGCTCACGTATAGGGTGAAGCATGACTCAAAATCATCAATTACGAAAGGGAAAACATTGTTTTTTGGTAGTATGGCATTTAAACTGGTTTGCTTTCAATATATTTCTGTTTCATTTCTTTGCAATACGTTTTTGATAGTCAAGAATAGACTGTTACCCCAAGCGTTATTCAAAATTTTCAATCTGCTCATAAATAATGAACATCCGTCAGAAAAACGATTCCGCTAAAACACTTCAATCGCGCCATTCTTTTTAAAATTATGTTCAATTTCTACAGTCAGTTTGGTTATTTTGCAACTCTGCAAATACACCTGTCCCCTCCCAATGAAATGAACGTAAAGTAGAAAACGAAGGCCCGTGATCAAAACACTGAGGAAAAAACCTGACGAAACAGAGGTAGTTGTTATTTTCAAAAACCTAATAAAACCTAATAACTAAAATTTTTTTAAGACTTTGTTGAAGGGATTTTAAATCAAGTTATCAGAAAAAAAATTGAGATTTTTTTTTCCAAAGAAAATATTGACTTTCATAAGTAAACCAACGAGGACTAAAAGGAAGCTCGTAACAACAGTATTTACAGTATTTATAAGAGTTGGCCACCACCCTTTTCTTAACAAACGTCTTTCTTCAATCCACGAAGGATAATAAAATATGTCATACTAAGCACTAATAACTCCTCATTGGACTAAGTCGCTATCTCGATTCACAGACTGGAAAAGCACAGTCGATTTGCAGGCGAAATGGGGATGAATTTTTTGCTATATTGCTAATGGATGATGTTTCTTTAAATTCTATATACTATGACATGATGCTTTTAGTTATGCAGATTTCAAATGCGAGAGAGCATTAAGCGAAATATATCTCGTGTTTCAAGGGTTTTTTATTATTCAATATAAAAGGCTTAGGTAGTTTTCTCTTAAAATTTACATCCAAGGCGTAAATGAGATGTGACGGATTGATTCTGAACAGTTACAGTTCGGTAAACTTGAGGCCTTACCTATTGCATTTTGAACACGGTTACAAAAGCGATAATCACTTCTAAATAAGCAAAAAAGGGACTGAGTTTGAAGAATCAGCTATTTACTTTTCATATCCGACAACTGAGCTAACATTAGGTCAATGCCTATTATATTTAGTAGCCTGTGCGCAATTAACAGCCATTCCGTGCTATCGAGGCCCATTTTCACTAAAACAGCTGTCCAAAACTTTTAATATGATGCCTTAGATCACTGTTATTTTTCCTCTGATATTGTTTATTACTTACCTTATCGAAGTGCCCGGAAGGCTTTTTAATTGGCAGTATATATACGCTGTGATGACATCGCAAGACGACGGTCAGTTGGAAAAGGTTTCAAAAAAACTTTTTTACTGACTCCTATGTCATCATCATGGATCACCATGCAGCTCTTTCCTCTTCAAAGAGGCTATCTCCCCCCCCCCCCCCCCCCCACAAAAAAAAAAAAAAAAAATAAACACAAAGAGGTGTCTCATTTTTTTTTTTTCAACAAAAACACAACATTCTTTTAATAACATAATAATAGTCATAAAAATCACAATGCCACCAAACACA